AGTGTCGTTAGTAGCACAATGAACAATAGTTCTACACATTACCTTGATGTGTTCAAATTTGTCATCGTTACAGTAGTTGATATCACAAATAGGACATGATTTCTGAGGATGCCGTTCACCATAAGATAAACATTTATCAAATCTGTACTCATCATTATATCCTTGTTTGAAACTGTTCGTAAAAGCCAGTGTGTATCTCGTCTCAGTAGCTCAGGGGATGACGCGTTGATGTTCGAAGTGAATGGTACTGGGTATGAGTATCGGAGTGAAGATCAACTATGCAATCCAGATAAACCCGGCTAACGGTCCCCAAATAGGAGGAAGGGACGCGCGTCCTAGATTCCACTACTACCCACCATCCATCCCTGCTTATATTACTTGTTAATTAATGGTAAAACGGAGTCAATTCACGCAAGATATACAAACACCATAAAAACACTGATCAATTGCAGTCCCAAACACCAATGAGACAGTTCAAATAACCAGTGCAAATGAATCTTTGTGGAATTCTTTCCCATATTTACTTAAGAATGGGAACCATTGATTAATCAAGAAATGAGCAGTAATGTGATCGTCGGATGATACTAACACTACAGTGTTTTTCTTGGAATCTATCATTCTATTTAGCTCTATTAAGATAAAACTGTCACTAACTTATCTAATCTACACTTTTCCTCATTCCTATGTAAGTATCTGCTGAACTCTATAGAATCGGTCATCATAATACTTAACTAACTATAGTCCGTTATCTAGTTTTTACTAAACAGTAAATAATCAAGCAATATATCATTTCTTATGACCTATTGACCCTATCAATATGTGACGGAATGATACCGCCAATAATAGAACAGTGACTTGTCGACCGGATCAATGATTCATTAAAACCTATACGACTAATGTAGAGTATTTATTAGTCCTTATTACTGGCTAGCCCTCCCCGTTAAGTCCAAAACGCTAATCTCAGCCTCCGTGATATGAATCAAGTATTTCAAGCAAACTGGATCTATATACAAATCAAACAGACGACATCGTACCATGAAATAGTAAAAAAAAACACACATTTGTACAAGATCTAGCCAAAAAGTCGTTGTGAATATGAGAGATAGACATTATAAACTGAGTATAATTCAAGAACAATAAATCGTATCATAATAATATATGAGTCAAAATGAAGCTTATAATAATGAGAAAATAAATATACGTCATCTAGTTACAGAACAAATATACAATAGGAATAGATGTATAGTATTAGTTCAAAAAATGGATCCCAACAGTTACCATTCAGTATTCTCGTCAGGAGATAAAACAATGAAGGATGGAAGATATTGAGATGATATTTCAACGGTTCAGTTTAAAACATCATTCTGTCACCAAGAAAAGTTTATCCAGAATATTTAAACAAATAGTTAGATTAATTAAAACACAACATCCATGGATAAACTATTCCATATTCGTCTATATAACCATAGCCATATAACACATACTATACATCCAATAAAGAAACAAATAACAAATGTTATTATAATTTATAAGGAGCGAAATGATTTCTCATGTTCATTGAGTTCAGTTGTTTGTAAGGTTTTATTCTGAAGAAAAGAAAAGAAAAGACGAAACACCATACAGATTTACAGTGTGAAATATAAGTCAGTCAGCTACAACTTAAGATCAGACACATAGATGCATCGGTCCAAGTTGCCATACCTCATTAACACAACAAGATGAACATCGAATTCCTAGAAGTAGTTAATTCAATGGTGGTTGTGTATAAGGATATGATACATGAGGAACGAATTAGGAAGTAAGGCATAAAGTAATTTTAATATCACGGTTTAAGGGAAGACAGAGAGTGTCTACACCGATTCCAATGTCATCGTTGCTGATACCTTGACGTGGTGGGTAAGCTTGCCTATCGTGATGAACCAATCGATCTGGAACAATCGTTCCTCATGGTCCTACCATGCAAGACAAACCGATTGAAGAGCGGTGAAACTAAAGGCGGCAAACCCATTGTCCGATAGCGAAGTCGTACTGTTGACTGTACAGAGCTGTGACGGTAGTAGAGTGTTTCCTTCAGAGAACCAGGATAACAGCGATGCTGTCTTCGCACAAGGAGGGGTGGGGTTTTGAAAACTTCGACCCTAAAAATGCACACCTTGTCTTATCACAGGGATATACGTCTCCGGCAATAAGGTCTCAACAAGTACGGAGCTAACACGAAAGTTACTCACAAAAAGATCGTGTGTGATCGACCTCAAACAGTTGTCCCTTGAACACGGCGGTTACGCTCTCAAGTCATTAAAACCACCCCTAACCCAATCTTCTTTTCATATACCTCTAGAAGATGTGAAATATGAAAACGATATTGAAAGAAAAAAAAACCCTGTTAAGTTCAAAGATAACCTACAATCTTCGTGCAATTATTTACTATCCAACCATTAATAAGAGTATCAAGACCATTACTACATTTATTAGCTTTTGAATACCAGTGGCATATCATATGAGGTTTTGATGCAGCTAGACATGTTTCATTTGAATCTTTCATGTAACAACTTTCTGTGAAAAGAACAAGATTGACTATGTTTCAAGTGATTGAACAAACGACAAATTAGTTACAAAACATGTAACTATAAATTAACTACATAATGGTGATTTAGAGGTTAAGGGAATATTTCATTAATTGGGAGAATTTTCATCACCTTAACCAATGCGATCTTTAATACACTTTTAATCCAATTCATGTTACACGATAGTGTAGTGACGTACTTTTATCATGAGAACGCGATTGGTTTAATGAAAACAATTATTATTATAACCAATTGTACCAGTGATTGTTTTACTGTACTTATTTGTTTAACTGTACTAAAGGCATTCTTTTTTCCGTTGATTGTGACCTTGCATGAATTCGGTTAGGCTCAGTAACCACACTTGTACTCCTTTGGCACGATCTCGGTATTCCTTCGATACCACGAGATAGTGTCCGGCCAACGGATCCGATGTATTCTGCGTAGACAGCTGTTAATAAAAACCTGTATCTTCCAGATGAAAACGAAACATTAACAAAATAAAAATAATGATCCGAAAATTGAATTACCAAGGTAGTAATAGGTTTATTATTGTCCGTTTTTTTCAATACACAGATCAAGTTTGAGTTTGTTTTTTAGCAATGGTATGCTCAGTGTTAAATAAATACCGGGCTACTGTATTATTAAGAGCCCTTCCCCCCCCCACCGACCCACGCACACACACACTCTCAGTTTCTATGGTGCATGTTCAGAAATACGAACATTTATTCTTCTTTCTCGATTCTTTCAATATATGTGCTTTGCCATGAACATATAAATGTTCTTCATTATTGATTTCTTATTTTGTGCAATAATTATGGTTGACCCCTCTTCAGTCATACATTCTAATTATTACGCAACTCATCTTATCACTGTTTTTTTGTTTTTTCAATTTCAGGAATCTTATCCAAATCCTTTTTTTTACCTTAAACATTATTACATAATTAATATTATCTGTCAATGAACGTCACTCAGTTATTACATCACCTACCCCCCCGCACATGATTTTTTTGTTTTTTGTTTGTTGGTTCTAACACTGAATGATCTCCAACTTATTCTTACATAAATATGGTGATCATTTGAGAACGTTGATCATTTCAATTCATTTCATTGTTTCACACTATATCTTATCTCAATGTAGTAGTAGTAGTGGGTTTGAGAATGTTGGTTGGCGGCCTATGCTCTGTTGGGTATAGCAGACGTGAGTAAGTAAGTAATATGTTAGTTTCAGCCATTCTCACCAATCATATCAGTTGCTGATGTCTCACTTCATCATGTCACCTGCTCAACTACTTCATTAATACAATCAGCTGAATCAAGCTACACTGCATAATACCAAAATTCGAATTCACACATACCAATTTACACTGAATATGTGACCATGGAGAATGTAGTTTGATCTGTGTGGTTCATTTTTCTCATTTAGTCAAATAGTTCAGTGTTGACTTGTTTACATATACAGAATTGTTTGAAACTACTTTGAAGTTGTATAAAGTATGAGACTAATGACATTCACAATACACTGGTGTGAATGATAGTTGAGAGTAATTGAATTGCTGTTGTCTTTTGGTGTTCACCCACCATGACCGATGTATCCTCATATTAGCAAGTGAGAAAAATATTTATTGACATAATATATATGTCATATTATATCTAACCTTTCACTCTGCCGATAGCTCTTTTAGAGTTACTACAGTTCCCAAGCCCGGGTAAAGAAAGAGGGTTCGACATGGGGTTAGCAAACCTATCCCGTAGAGAACTAACTCGCTAAAAAACGCTAACCCAAAAAAAATAATTCAAATCATTTAAACTCTGCCGTGGGAATTAGAAGTTCTTCATTGAGAATAGTTAGGACGCCTCATGGTGAAAGCCGAGTTCCATAGGAAGTCACGAGGCCGATGCCCCTTCTAACAACCAGAGCAACAATTTTTATAGGTACATGGAACGTTCGAGTAATGCGGAAGATCAAGAGAATCAGTCAAATAGAAACGGTAAATGAGGAGATATAAATTGGCAGTACTGATAATCAACAAAACTCATTGGACCGAGGCTGAACAGCAAAGGTTAGATACGGAAGAGATGTTACTATACTCCAAGCACGAAGAGGATAATGCTCCATACACTCAGGTATCAGCTCTAATACTATTCAAAGAAGCACTATATTGCACTTGTAGAGTGGGAATCTTACGAATCTAGAATAATCAAAGCGCATTATTCTGGTAGGGGTGACCTATGCTCCTCCACGAGGAGTAAGTAAGTAACTTTAGTACATTTTTAATTGCGTTATATTACATAATCATTCACATGGTCAATAACCTAATCTTATTCATTTCAAATTCTTCTTCGTTTTATATATATATTTAGAATGATACATATGATATAATAAGACCTGCTATTGATCAATTATCTACAATTGCTTGTTTAGTGAATAATGTTGGTATGGGATTACCATTAGAGTTATTTACTGGAGAAATGGATTCACCAAATGAAGAATCAATAAGAAATATCATTCATTGTAACATTTTGTCTACAGTAATGATGACAAGCATCATTATACCCAAGATGTTAACACAGAAAGGACCTAATCCTGGTATTATAAACCTTGCATCTTATTCAGCACTTAGAACAACTCCATATTTAACTGTATATTCTTCAACAAAAGCGTTTATCATACAATTTTGTAAATGTTTATCTGCTGAGACATATCGAAAGAATGTGATTATACAGACATTATGTCCATTAATTATCTATGCCACAATGACTGAACATGAAAAACCATCATATTTTAATCCATCGGCTAAGTCATTTGTTCATAGTGCATTAAATATGTATGGTGTAGTACAACAAACTACTGGTTATATATTACATGAATATAAAGCTTATTTATTTGATTTATTACCAACATCATTGTGGATATTATTGACATATGCTAGAGTGAATGCACGTAAGAAATATGTATAATGGTATGGTATGATATTGTTGAATAAACATAATAAATGATAGCTTTGGAGATCCATTTCTAGACTAATACTATACATACATTCTTATTGTATGACTGTTACGTAGCTAAACTATTCATATTCATATTCCTCTTATTGTAAGCTTTATTTTGACCTATGTACTATTATTATATGATTTATCATTCTTGAATTATGCCCTGTCTATTAGTCACTGCCTCCCTCACTCACAGCCACATTTGGCTAGATCCTGTGCAAATGTTGTTTCCTATTTTATGGTACGATGTGGTCTGTTTTGTTGGTAGATAAACCGAGTATGTTTGAAATATAATGATTCATATTGCAGAGGCTGAGATTGGTATTCTGGACTTAACGGGCTGAGCTAAACAGGAAGCGGGACCAATAAGGACTCCAGGCTGCTCATACGGGTTTATGTGTCACTAATCCGATCGATAAGTCACTGCTCACCCATTGGTGGCTTTGGGCTATAATAGATGGTGAGGGTGTTTGTTTATGAAATCGTGAGAAGGTAAAGTGAATGTCTAGCTTTGTCACCAGGTAAGTGGATATGAAGGATCTGCCAGGTCGAATAGCAAAACCCTGATTACAGACCAATGGTGCACATGGGCTCCAGGATATTGAAGAAATAAATGGCGTATGAACCAGTTGTTGGTGATCGGCTACCAATGGGATTACATCTCCTGATTTTGCTTCACTGACTTGTGGATCAGACACTTAAGTCAAAGGCTCTGGGTGCGGTATTTAAAGAAAACCACCTGCTTCGGTTAAGGCACCCGTGCAGTATCCTAGCCCTCACAAAAATTAGATGATTTGTATGGTGCATATTTATCAGTCAAGGGTTGTGAAATTGTTGAGTTTTTATTGCGATCATGAATCGGAAACTGTTTGACAACCCTCAAAAGCTTTTATCATTGAATTGTCATTTCGTCTTGGTATTTCATGGATTCACTGAAGTTAGATTTTAACATTGTTTTATGCCAGCTCAGCGGTCTAGAGGTTAAGCGTACGCGCGAGACTGAAAGTCCTTTGTTTAAGCTACTCGTGCGGGGTTATGGATGCGCATTCATGTGAACCCCATAATAGGACGAAATGGCCGTCCAGTACATCCAAGTATAATCTGAATTAAAATTAAAGTGATCTAATTCGTGAATTTTTACTTGATCAACATGTTTACTTTTTGTGAATCGAATGGTTATTTAAATCAAGAATCTTCATCAACTGACTATTCATCTTCTAAATTATAATACTTGTAGATGATCATTAGTCATATGTTGAAGGTAAAACTGTTATTCTGATGATGTTTTACATACTGAATGAGTTTGAAGTATGCTAGATTTGAAGAATTACTTAAACCTTCGAGAATTTCGTGAATGTTCTGCATTATGCCATTGACGCATTTTTCTGGCTCTTCCAGATTACTTGGACTCACTCATGTGTTAGCACTCTTTAAAGTTCTAACGGGATGTTTTACCAAACCATTAAACTGAGAGTAGCTCGCACCTGTAAATAGGTGACAATATTCAATATCATTAAGCTAGTTGTTAACATATTTTCCTGTGAAACAGGTTTCATTACCAGTTACTACTCCATTCTGTATTCCCTCACGACTGTATATATCATTCATCGCTCTTTGAGTAAATTTTCCACTAGGAATGTTCACCACTACCACTTCTAAACATTTCGAATTTCAGTTAACAGCAAATAAAACATAATACGAGTTAAGGGTTAGCCGCAGTAATGTGCATGAATACATCGGTACTATGTATAAGATGCAGGTCAATGATTTCAAGTAGTCTTGTTGTATGATAATTTATTCAGAACAAACAGGACAGATTTTCGATTTACAACTTACTTCAGCATTAATCTTAGGCCTCCAACGTGTCTGACAAGTAAGTGATTTTATTTTTTCTGCCCCCAGATGGGCTAAGTGAAGGTCTACTATTGAAAATCTAGGTGTAGGTTGGGGGTTGATTACCCTATCAGTCACTGGCCCTACAACTATGACTTTTATAAAACTCGGAAAACCTACGCTTGCACTGAATATTTCAACCTCTTTTCACCACGCTTATAATACTTCCAAAAAACTTACGAGTATTCGCTACAAGTTCTGTTCCATTAATAGGGAATCGTTGTACTAGTAGACAATCAGTTTCGTTAGATAATATTTTGAAAAATGAATAGCATGTTAGAAAAGCTGAACGTGGTACGCTTTTAGCCATCCCTAAACAAAATGCTTAACGAATGACCAATTCATTTGGCTCCACACTAACAGATGCTTTGTTAGATACTCGCTTAATAGTGTAAGTCTGATAGTTTGTTGGCTGAGTTGTTATTAAACAAATGTCAACTCCAGAGCTTGATTTTCAGGCTTAATGCATTGAATAGTATTTTGATGTCATTGAAGATTCTTCTCATGTTTATATTGATAGATGCGTTGCCTTTAAAAACCAAACATTCATGTTAAATACCTTCCAAATAGTCATACCTAACCTGTTGCTATGTTCCTGGCTATGAACAACGTTTCCGAATTGGTTAGTTAGAACACAAATCTTAATACAGTGCAAATGGGATGAGCTTTTTAACTCTAGAAGTTGATTGTTTCAGTGTAAAATATAAACTATCTGATGAGGAATCACATTCATACTGTAGTGAACAAAAAAGTGAATGGGGGCAATCGAAAGTATTTTGACACGAAATTACAGAATATTTCACTAAAATCTGAGAAACATACATCAAATACTTCATTTGTAAAACATCAATCCATTGTCTCAAACTTGGCTGTTCTTTTTTCGAATATCAGTCCACCATCTCAGACTTCATTGTTCCTACATTTTCATACCAACTGCCTTCCGTTTCTGTTCTTTCCTTCTCGATCTTTTACTGAAATACATTATATTCCTGACTATCGTTATATACTACTGATGTGGATCTAAGTAGCTCACACCACAATACATCTAAAGCGTTTGTTGTTCTTTAATAAATTTTCGATGACTATTCAGTCTGAATAAATTAACTATACTTTATAGAAAACCTATAAATTTTCAAAGGTTTGGAGTGAGTTGTCTATTCCATGGAAGTTATACTGTAGCGGTAAATAAATCCCCAAAATAAATAGCTCTGTAAGTTTTCGACATTGGATGCTGACCATATGTTTTAGTGGGCTCATCTAGCTGAAGGCGCTCGGTCATGCATCCGCACCAGATCACGTGTGGTAACGCAATGCTCAACATCAACCGCAATCGCTAGCCAGATTAGATCAGAGAATTCCGATATATTGGTCATCGCCAAATATACTCTTCCGATCTCCTCGACTCTGTCTTTTGATTTCTCTGGGTGGGAACGAAATATATTAGAAGATGTTACTGGTAAAAGCGTTGTCAAACACTGAATACCTGTGACATCATCAATACTATATAGAAGACCATGAGAAACTCTACAAACACCCTGGAAATATTGTGAGTGTAAACAAAAGACACATCTTGATTAGTCAAACTTTTCTCAGATTCAAAAATGGGTACGTTTTCATAGGCTCTTCTTCTGCTACAAGCCTACTGTAATCACGTTTTGAAATTTGTGAAAAAATCGAAAAATTACCATCATGGGTCTGTTTATTCCGGCATTATATTAATGCTTAACCTCAATATCTTCAAATACCACAACACAAATCATGGTCTCGCCGCGCACTATCACTAAGTATTGAGCAAACACAAAGCCATGTGAAATCAAACACTAATCTTGTGATATATATCACAAGATTACTGCATATGCAGTATACATTTTAAGTATTCAGTTACCACGTAATGATTTTATATTTGTAGGGTCCTTCATTTTGTGATACCGCATAACAATCATTCAGCAGCAGATATATAACCATATATATAAGCGTATGTATTAACATATATATAAGCTTGTTGGTCGATCCTGACGATAAATATTGAATGGTCGCCAGTTAGAATTTAGCACTTGAGGAATGGAGATATAAATGATATTCATTTTTCTTGCTGCATATTACCAGCAACCACGATTGTGAGGACATCGTTATCTCTAGGCCTTTTTGTAACTTGTACAGCGAAAGGTTGTACACATTTCATAAATACACATGAATAGGGTTGACCGATTTACAGATATTGTGATGTGTTAAAACAAACAAACGAACACAGAAAGCTAGTTAAAATATCTAGTGAGTAGGATCCAGTATCCCAGATACTTAATGAGCATGAGAAACAAAAGCAGAAGTTGAGAAGTTCTAAACATAGGTTTATAAACTTTATTCATATTTTACGATGTAACTAGTATTACAGTTTAAGAATACCATACTGACTAATTGAACTAAATATATTGTCAAATAAATACGTGTTTTACAATTTAGAACAAAAGAAACTAAGATGCTAAATCAATTACTGTTTAGTTTGAAATGGATTAGTTATTGAGATGATGATGATGATGATGATGATGATGGGCAACAGATTCTCACAGAATAATAAGATCATTTGCAGATTTTAGGTAAATATTTCAAGCTTTATTTCGTTGTGAATTGGCTTTTAGTTTCATGAGTTGTTTAGAAATTATTGCCGGTAACAAATCGTAAAGATATGCTTGTAAATCATGTCGAAAATAACCAGTAGTTTGTTGTTCAACACCAAACATATCCAATGCACTTTTAGCAAAGACTTTAGCATTTGGTATGAAATATGTGGTTTTCATAAAATTTGTCATATTTGTAGATACACATAATGGACAAATCGTTTGTATTATCACATTCTTTCTATACTTTTCTGCAGCCAAACATCTGGAAAATTGAATAATAGATGCCTTGGTTGAAGCATACACTGTAGCATGCGGAAACACTTTCAAACCGGAATAAGATCCAATGTTTATGATACCAGGATTTGGTCCTTTCTGTGTTAACATTTTCGGCAGAATGATGTTTGTCATTGTTACTGTAGACAAAATGTTACAATGAATGATATTTCTAATTGATTC